TAAATAAATAAATGAAATTTATTATGTATACAACATTCTGCTTCCCACACACCAGAAGAGGGTGCCAGATCTCATTACAGATGGCTGTGAGCCATCATGTGGTTGCTGGGAATTGAACTCAGGACCTCCGGAAGAGCAGTCAGTGCTCTTAGCCTCTGAGCCATCTCTCCAGCCCCATGACTATAAATTTTTAAAATACATTTTGCACAGCCAGGCAATGGTGGCACACACATTTAATTCCAGTATTTGGGAGGCAGAAATAAGCGAATGTCTGAGTTTGAGGCCAGCCTGGTTTATAGAGTGAGTTCCTGGACAGCCAGAACTACACAGAGAATCCGTATCTTGTAAAGATGCTTCCCCAAAGAAAAATTATTTGTGCGTGTTGTATCTGCATATTCAGATGTGTATTGCATGTGACTATTTGGTGACTTTGTATGGACTGCTTATCAGGATAGTTGTTGAAACTGACTTTTTTATTTTAGGAAAGTACCTGAGACAGAAAAGAATTGACTTCCAGCTTCCTTATGACATCCTCTGGCAGTGGAAACACAATCAGGTACAGAGGCCTCTTTGTCCAGGTTTTGTTTTTTTTTTTTTTGGGGGGGGGGTTGGTGTTTGTTTTTTTTAATTCATAACAGTTAGGCAATAGGGAATGCAAGTTTTCCTCTGGCTCCTTATATCTTAGGATATGCTGAGACCTGCCCTTATAAAGGTTAGAGACTAAGAAAAATAATTTGCATATATATTTAATGTATACCTTACTTGCCTTTTATCATACTTCGTAATTATAGTAAGTTTCTGCTTCAATGGGCGACCTTTTGTTCTTATTCTAAGCTTTTGTTTTGGTATCAATGATTTTTGTGCTATAACAATTCTGTTTTATGCAGGGCACAATGAAAATGAAGATGTACTGCCATAACACTAAAAACACACACACACACACACACACACACACACAAAAAAACCTCAGACCTTAATTAAGTTAAAGGTTCCAGAGAACAACCACTGGGAAACTGGCAGGTGGGATAACATACATCTTTAATCCCAGTCGTCAGGAGGCAGAAGCGGGTGGATTTCAGTGAGTTCCAGACCAGTAGAACCATATAGTAAGACACTGTCTCTAAATAAAAGTTAACTCTGGAAAATCAAAAGCACTTCAGTCTCCTCTGCCTCCTTTTCTCTGGTGTTCTCTGGTGAATTGTTTCAAGACAGGCTTTCTAAATAGCCATAGCTGTCTTAGAACTCAGAGATCTGACTGCCTCTGCCTCCCGACTGCTGGGATTAAAGATATGCATCACTGCTGCCTGGCCTCTGTTAAGTTCTTATGAATATCTTATATATTTGTGTCTTTTTATTGGCTTTGGTTGGAGGCGTTGCTTTTGTTTTATTTTGTTTTTAGACAGTGTTTTTTTTCCCTCCCTTTTAACTTTGGGGAATGGAGCTTTCAACATGGACCCCCCAAAAAAAAAAAGATAAAATAAATCCTGATAAATTACTAAGTGATGGAGTTTAGTTCAATGGCTGTTTCTTTTGCAGCACACTTTATTTCAAACCTGAGAGCTCTTTCCTCAATGTTTCATATTACCCAGGCTGACCTTGAACTTGCTATGTAGCTAAGACTGGCCTACCACCTCTGACCCTCCTGCTTTTATCTCCATACTGCTGAATTGAGATACAAGCACACCAGTAGCACACTCTGCTTGTGGTGAGCCACCGCAATGCTGATTTCCTGAGATTCCCTATCAGTCACGGCTGAGAGGACAGCTTATCTTTCTATTGTCATACTACTACACTAAAACAAACCTTATACATGTTGAGGGTTTTAGGGTTTATAGGATTTTGTGATTTTATGGTAGGGTTAATACTGAAGCTTGAACACGAAGTGTACCACTGGCCTTTACCCCCATTCCCTTTCCTTTCTTTTGATAGCAACAAATAGAATCTTAAGTTACCCAAGTGAATGAGTTTGGTCTTCAGATTGACTCTTTTCAGTAGTTATCCAACAGCATGTTAAAATTTAGAAAAAAAAAAAAAAAAAGCAAATCCAAAACACATTGTTGTAACTCAGATGTTATTTACACAAGCCTATATAATTCTAGGTCTCAGGAAGGGATATAGGAGAAGAACAAAAGATTTACCTAAAAAAATTTAGGCCATCCCAGGCTCCATAGATGCTGCCTTTAAAAAAAAAAACATCTAATTCTCCATCACCCTTTTTTATTGTGGAGAAAATTAAAAGTAAATCACTGTGAGATTCCTTCAATCATACCTGATTCAGCAAAGCTGAAAAACATTTGCCATGTAGCTTGTGCTCACAGTGATCCTCCTGCTTCACCTTCCCAAGTGTTACGAGTATAGAGGTGTCCCACCATGCCCAATTCCCACAAATACTTCCCTATGAACAGAATGCATGGATACCTACCTTTATCTTTAGAGTTTGATGCCACACTGTCAGTTGAAGCAAAATGCTATATCAAGATTTTCTTTTCTTCTAGCTATACAAAAAACCAGATGTCCCCCTGTATAAAAAAATTCGTTCAAGTGAGTAACTTAGAAGTTATTTTTTCTGCCTTCAACACATCAATATTCCTCCTGTCTTGACACTTATTTTTATAGTTCTATATGTTCAAAAACTTTTATTTGCTGTCTTCTCAAGATGTCTACGTTGATGTCAAACCTCTTTCTGGTTATGAGGCTACCACCTGTAACTGTAAGAAGCCGGATGATGCCACCAGGAAGGGCTGTGGGGATGACTGCCTCAATAGGTACTGTGACTGTTTCTCTGAAACGGAGTCTGACTCTGACATTGGACACTGATGCTCATTGACTGCATAGAGTATCAGAGAGAGTCTTGTGTACCAAAATGTCACCTTCTCTGGGGGAAGTTCTCAAGTTAATATGAGATGATGTTGTAATCTGTTAATAACCAAAGTCTTAAGTGCCTTCTTAGCTTTCAGCATATGGTAGGCCATAATGAGGAACTGTCCAAATGAAGTGTATAATTTCCACAGAAAACTGAGCTAATAAACTATTTGCATGTATGAGCATCCACATGATCAGTGACCACTAATGCTAATGAGATGGTAAAAGTATCATCAGAAGTAAAAAGTGTGGCTTAACTCATTTGGAGGGTCTTATTTTTAGTGGGAACTATTTGTTTTCAGTTGTGTCAGAGCTCTGCTTCTCCTGCCTCGCTCCAAGTGCTGAGCTGATGATCATGCACCGGCAGCCTCTACTGGGTATCAAATGGAAATGCCTGGTGCAGGAGAAGGAATGAAGATAGAATTGTTGGTTTTAGTAATGCAGATAAATTTACAGAAAATAAAGAACTTGATGTTCTGAATATGGTAATACTCACCTGTTAATTTCAGCCCTGTGGAGGCTGAGATTGCAGGAACCACACAGATTGTAAGGTGCACCGGGCGATGGGGCCGCACGCCTTTAATCCCAGCACTCGGGGGGGGGGGGGGGGGGGGGCAGAGGCAGGTGGATCTCTGTGAGTTTGAGGCCAGCCTGGTCTACAAGAGCTAGACAGGCTCTAAAACTCCAGTGAAACAAAACCAAAAAAAAAAAAAAAAAAAGCCAGATTGTAAGGTGCCTGCTGTACATGGTAGTTCTGGACTGGTTGGGCTCATAGTTAGACACTGTTGTGAAAAACCAGAACCACCAATAGCCAAAGACAACTGCTTCCCCATGCCCGAGGTCAGCTCCACTTGACAATAGAGGAATTAGTTTTAATATGCCAGTTGGGAATCTTTCCTGGCTTATATTGCCATACATAAATATAATATATAAGTATAGTTTTATATATTGTTGATAATGAAGGTACAGATGGTGGGTTTTTTAGAAAAGATTTGTTTACTTATTTTTGTCTATATATATATATATATGCCTGTGAGTTTATGTGCACCACATGCATACAGGAACTGACAGATGAGAAGACATTGCATTTTCTTGGGATTGAATCCCATCCTTAGCAAGAGCAGCAAGCAAGCAATGCTCTTAACCACTGAGCCATCTCCCAGTATCAGTGCATGTGTAATAAATAGTGACTTTTTTCACTCCCAGTATTTTGTTGTTTTATTTTATTTTTGAGATAGGACCTTATCTTGTTTCTAAATCTGTGCTAGTTCTCACTATGTAGCCCAGACTGGCCTCAAACTCCAAACAATCTTTTTGCCTTGGTTTTCTAACGTGTGTGTGTGTGTGTGTGTGTGTGTGTGTGTGTGAAAGTCTCATAACCATGCCCAGCTTTTTACAAATACTTTAAATACACACTTTTATATGTCACTGTAGTCTACAAGTGTTTGCTATCATCCATCAAGTTGATAGACCACAGAGTTGGCCTTATCTCTTTTAGACATCTAGTTTATTTTCAGTGTTTTACTATTAAAGGTGTCACAGAGAAACCCTGTCTCAAGAATCAAAACAAAACAGATAAGCCATCTCACCAGCCCTAAGTAAAGATGATCAGTAGCACAAGCCTTTAATTCCAGCACTTGAGAGGCAGAAGCATGGTCTACAAAGTGAATCTAGTATAGCTAGGCCTACATACAGAAATTCTGTCTCAAAACAAAATAAAACAAAGCAAAAAGGCACTAGCCGGGCAATAGAGATGGCTCGGAGGTTAAGAACCTGTAACTACAGTTGCAGTGGATTCTGATATCCTCTTCTGACTTCCTTGGGAACATGCAAATTGTTCACATTTGGCAAAATACATATAAAAAAAAGAAAAAGAAATTTTTTTTAATTATTAAAAAGTTAATTTTTAAAAAACTATTTATTTTACATCCCGGCCACAGCCTTTCCTCAATTCTTTCTTCCCAGTCCCTCTGCCTCATCCTCTCTCTCCTAACCCCCAATTTCCTCTTCTGTCTCCAACCAGGAAAGGTCAGGTCTCCTATGAGTGTCAATAATACATGGCATATCAAGTTGCAGTTAGACTAAGCACTATGTATTACGGCTGGGCAAGGTGACCCAGTATGAGAAGTAAGGTCCCAGAAGCCAGTAAAAGAGCTGTCCAGCAATATCATACATGCAGAAGGCCTAGGTTGTCCTCATGCCGGCCCCCTGGCTGTCAGTTCAATCTCTGTGAGCCCAGGTTACAGAGGGTCTGATTGAGACCCTCTGGCTCCTTCGCTCCTTTCTCCTCTGCAGGATTCCAAGCTTCACCTAATGATTGGCTATAGGTCTCTGCATCTGCCTCCATCAGTTGATGGATAACACCTCTCTGATAACAATTGGTTGAGGCACCAATTTGGTCATAGGAAGATGACCAGTTTAGGTTACTTATCCACTATTACTAGGAGTCTAAGCTGGGGTCCTCCCCAACCTGATTGCTCATATTCCCATATAATTTTTTTAATATCATGAATTAGCTGGGCATGGTGCTGAACACCTACCTGTAAGTAACCCTTGCATTTGTGAGGCATAGGCGGAGACTATTGGTCTACATATAGCAAGTTAACAGACCAACTACAGATACATATTGAATTTTAAAAGTAAGTATGTTTTTGAAGGAGATGGTGGTACATGCATTTAATCCCACCACTCAGGATGAAGAGGCAAATGGATTTTCAGGTCAAGGCAGCCTGGTCTACAGAATGAGCTCCAGGACAGCCAGGGCTACACAGAGAAACCCTGTCTTTTCAAGACAACTATAATCCAAGTGGAGAAACCCCACCCTTGAGTGGAGTTGTGGAGGCAAATTTTATTTTATTTTATTTTATTTTTTTGCTTTTTCGAGACAGGGTTTCTCTGTGGTTTTGGAGCCTGTCCTGGAACTAGCTCTTGTAGACCAGGCTGGTCTCAAACTCACAGAGATCCGCCTGCCTCTGCCTCTCAAGTGCTGGGATTAAAGGCGTGCGCCACCACTGCCCGGCTGGAGGCAAATTTTAAAACAATGTGAAATATTTTGACTTAATTGTGGCTGTTTTACTTTATTTAAATTAAGTTTTATTTATGTATGTGAATGTTTTTTCTGCATGTATGTATGTATGCACACCAAATACACGATTGATTACCCCTGTAGGCCAGAAGAGGATGTGTAATACCCCGGAACTAGAAGTCAGGTTTCCTGCAAGAGCAACCAGTGCTCATAACCCTGAGCCATCTTTCTAGCCTCTTAATTGTTGCTTCTTGTTTTTTTGGGGGGTGGGGGGAGGGTGAGACAGGGTTTCTCTGTAGCTTTGGAGCCTGTCCTGGAACTAGCTCTTGTAGACCAGGCTGGCCTCCAATTCACAGAGATCCACCTGCCTCTGCTGGAATTAAAGGTGTGCACCACCACCTCCCCACCCCTATCCCCACCCCCCAGCAGTTGTTGCTTCTTATAATCAGTTTTGGTGTATCTATCTTCCTGTTTCTAAATTTTGAGAATTTCGTTGATTTAATTTTTTTCTTTATTTATTTATTATGTATACAATATTCTGTCTGTTTGTATGTCTGCAGGCCAGAAGAGGGCACCAGACCTCATTACAGATGGTTGTGAGCCACCATGTGGTTGTTGGGAATTGAACTCAGGACCTTTGGAAGAGCAGGCGATGCTCTTAACCACTGAGCCATCTCTCCAGCCCTGGTTTAATTTTTTTTTTTTTTGTCTACTATTTATCCTTTATATGTTGTTGGCTTTTTGCAGTTTTCTTACTCCTAAGGACATAGAAAAGAAGGAGCTAAGCCAGGAGTGAGTCTCACTGGCTAGATCCTGAGCTGTCCTAGCAACACCAGAAAAATAAGATGGGACCAAGTTGCTTTAAAATGTAACCACAAAATTGACATTTGAACATTTGCCATATTAAATACATTGATTGCTTTGTATCATTTTTATTGGCATAGGTATTACTTTTATTTTTCACATGCTGGCCTATATTCAGTCCTAACAAACCTCTCACTTAAACCACGACTAGAAAATAACCCTAAGAAAAAAACGTTGTCAAATGAGTGTCGTGGGAGGCTGTTCACTACAAAGAAATAAGTGTGACAGATGACAAGATGAAGGTGATAGATGCATTAGTATGTAAGAAAAATCAAAGGTATTATTGAATAGATGCCTACTTAGATTTTTCAATTAACCCATGATAAATTCTTCCCTAAATGAAGCTATCTAACATGTGTCTTTGTCTTATATGTTGATATTATTTAAAGTTGTGTAAATATTTGGTAGGAGAGCAGGACAGGGTTTCTCTGTGTAACAGTCCTGGCTGCCCTGGAACTCACTCACTGTGTAGACCAGGCTGGCCTATATCTCAGAGAGATCCACCTGCCTCTGCCTCCCAAGTGCTGCGATTAAAGGCATGCACCACCTCTGCCCGGCTTTATACTCGCAATCTTTAAAAATCAAAAGATCCAGAAATTTTTAAAGGTGTGGTGATACATGTCTAGAAGTCCAACAGCTAGGAAGGCAGACAAGAGGACTGGACCACACAGTGTGATTCTCCAGCTAGCCATTCCTTCCAGAGTTAGAAATTGTTATTGTTGTGTATAATGTATATATGTGTGGGCATGTTTGCCTCAGGGCACTTATAGAGGTCAGCTGATGGGAACTCTGTGGAGTTGATTCTTTCTCCTATCTTTGTAGTCAACTTGGATCAGCAAGCGTATATAGCAAGGACCTTTATCCCACTTAGCCATCTTGCCCACCATCTTAGAAACTTTTCAAAAACAAACATTCAAAAGACATTTAAACACCTGTTCGTCTGTTATATTCAAAATCTTTTGCTCGGCTTCATTTTAATTGCCTATAATTCCTGCACTCAGGAAGTTGAGTCAAGAAGATCAAAAGTGGATCTCAGTGATTAAGAGTTACTTGTTGCTCTTAGCAGGGAACAGAGTTCCCAGAACCTACATGGTGGTTCACAAACATCCATAAATTCAGTTCCAGGGAATACAGTGCCCCCTCCTGGCTTCTGCATGCACAAAGCACTCACATGGTGCACATCCATACATGCAGACAAAACACTCATGTAACATAAAATATGTTAGTGCACACCATTAATCCCTGCACTAATGAGGCAGAGGCAGGTGGAGCTCTGTGAGTTCGAGGCCAGCCTGCTCTACATAGCAAGTTGCAGGACTACAAAAAGAGGCCCTATCTTCATGTTTGTGTGGTATGTTTGTGCATAAAAATAAATATGCATTGTATATATATAAAAGATACATTCCAGGCCAAACTACACTATGTAGAAGACTCCAGTACTGTCTGAACTGCACAGTAAGACTTTGCTCAAAATAGAACAAATAAAACCAAAGGAAAAGTCTGTAAATCTGTAAGTGGCCATGAACGGCTACAAAACAAGATTTTCGTGTAAAGATGATGGAATGTTCAACAAAGTTAACATGGAAATCAATAACAGAGGGCCAGCATGATTGGTCAGCAAATAAACATGCTTGATACCAAGCTGAAGACCTGAGTTCAATCCTCATCACCCACTTGTTGGAAGGCGTGCCCAACTCCTTTGACATGTACATAAGTGCTATGACACATAGTTCACCCCCCATTTCATACAATCAGACAGCTAATAAAAAAGTGTTACTTAGGAGTGATATTCTTTCCTCCCCTCCCCCTCTTTTTGAAGCAGTATTTCTCTGTGAAACTAGTTGACCTGGAACTCTCTTGGTGTAGACCAGGCTGGCCTTGATCTCATAGAAATCTGCCTGCCTCTGCTTCCCAAGTGCTGGGATTAAAGGCATGCGCACCTTTCTCTTTATTTACTACTATGGTTTCCTACTCTCAGCAATTCTTTCTTGGGTTTTTGTTTTGTTTTGTTTTTTTAAATCTATGTTCCCAGTAGGGTATGGTAGCCTATGACTTTGAGCTTAGCACTCAGGAGGTAGAAGCAAGTAGATCCTTGAGTTTGAGTCTAGCTTAGTCTACAGAATTTCAGAACATCCAGGAATACAAAGAAAAAACCTTGTCTTGAAAAACTCAAAAAAGAACAAGAACAGTAACAGGAAGTCTGGAGTGTCTGCGATCATAGCACCCTAAAGGCATCCAATCTCATCAGAAAAACTAGAGGGTTGGCAGTTTTATGTAAAGCATCATCTGTGATCCAACTCCAAAATAATGAAAGTTAACTTTTGAATGATATCATTTTCATATTGGATACTTACCTACTCTTGTTAAAGTTGTTTCATGGAGTAAATTTAAAAATAATTTGATGGTATAAAATGTGTGCAGTAAAAATGTATTTGGTAAATTGACTACAATTATTATTTTCTAGAATGATCTTTGCTGAGTGTTCCCCTAACACTTGCCCGTGTGGTGAGCAGTGCTGTAACCAGAGGATACAGAGGCATGAGTGGGTGCAATGTCTGGAACGATTTCGAGCTGAAGAAAAAGGTTGGGGAATTAGAACCAAGGAACCCCTGAAAGCTGGCCAGTTCATCATAGAATACCTAGGGGAAGTTGTCAGCGAACAAGAATTCAGGTAAATGAAATTCTGATAAAATGATGATTCTGCAAGGTGAGGATAGTGAATTAAAGAAGTGAACTTTTATGTTACTTTAATCATTAGTGATTTGGTATCAATAGTGTGGTGGGGAGAATAGCTGCCCTCCAGTTTAATCAGTGATCGGTTTTTGATTATTTCTCTCTTCTGCAGGAACAGAATGATTGAACAGTATCATAATCACAGTGACCATTACTGTTTGAACCTGGATAGCGGAATGGTGATTGACAGTTATCGCATGGGAAATGAGGCCAGATTCATCAACCACAGCTGTGACCCAAATTGTGAAATGCAGAAATGGTAAGAAAGCATAGAAAGGTGAATTGAAGTGTGCAGAACGGTAGGTATCGAGGGCACCAGAGGTTGATCTCCTGCTATCATGCAGTTTACACACAGCATCTTGGGCAGTTCCATTTTACCAAGTCCTTCAGGCAGAGTAAGCTTTTGCTGTTTCTTTAGGTTATCTTAACTACTCCTACCAGAAAAATAGAGCAGTCGTGTAATACTGATCCTAAAGTACTTACTGAATGCTTATTGTATGTTAAGTAACCACGTTGTATGTATGTCATTCTATTTAGCCAGGCTATATTTCAAACTTACTTACTCCAGTAGATTTATCATAAGAGACCAAAAAAAAAAAAAGAGGTGAAATGAGGTTCTTTGTCTTAAATGGTCAAATCTAATTGAGAAGGAAAAGAATTTTATCAAAGAGGCATTGAAGGGCTGGAGAGATGGTTAACAGTGAAGAGTACATACTGTTCTTCCAGAGGATAGAGTTTAATACCTAGCACTTGCAGTTCTAGCTCTGCTTCAGCTGGCACCTGCCCTCGCGTGCACATGCCAACACACAGACACATACATACATGGGACATGTCTGCGTTCCATTCCCTCAGAAAGCCAAGGCAGGGTGACCAGTGGTTTAGAGTATCCGCCGCTCTTGCAGAGAACCTGAGTGTGGTTCCTAGCATCCACTTTGGATGCCTTACACAACTCCCTATAACTCCAGCTCCAGAGGGTAAGATTCCTCTCACCTCCCATGACAATCTGAATTTGATTGTTCCAGAACCCACATGGTGGAAGAACAGATCCAAGTCCCACAAGTTTTCTTCTGACCTACACACACACACACAATGTGGCATGCACATGGACTCACACGCAGTTAAAACAGCTTCACCTTTTTTCTTTCATGAATTTTATTAAATTAAGGTGTAATTCAGATACACAAAAATACAGGTTTTAAGTGAGTAATAATTTTTACCAATATATTCATCCACAAAAACCGCACCCCTATGTAAACAAAACATAGCAAACATTTCAGAAAGTTGAGAGACTTGAGATGGAGCTCTGTGGTAGAGCCCTTGCTTAGCAAGCACAGAAGCTGGACTTCATCCCTAGCTCTGTAAAGTGAAAGACTAACACAAAAAGAAAACAAACAGAAAAAGCAAAAGCACAGTGAGGCTGCTCAGCTAGTAAAGATGATTCCTAAATTTCTACCAAGCCTGATAACCCTGACATTTGATCCGTGTTCCCGTGGATTTTCCCACATGGTAGAAGGAAAAAAAAAGGCTCCCAATAATTGTCCCCTACCTCCACATGTGTGCCATGACACACACATGCACACACATATACACATGCCCAAATAAAAAATAAATGGTTCAAAAATAATAATAAAATGAACTGGGTACGAAAGTGAACATCTTTGTTTGACATATGGTCTTTCTCTACAACTAGGCTGTCTTAGAACATGCAGAGATTCCCCCTGCCTCTGCCTCCGAGTGCTGGGATTAAAATCATGTGACCTCATGCTTATCATGAATTAATGGATTCTTCTTAAAAAATTTTTTTTTTTTTTTTTGGTTTTTGATTTTTTTCATGACCAGGTTTTTCAGCTATTCTGAAACTTGCTCTTCAGGCTGGCCTTGAACTCAGAGATTTTGTCTGCTTCTGTCTCCTGTGTGCTGGGATTAAAGGCATGCACCACCACTACTTGGCATAGCTTTGAGCTTTTTTTTTTAATTTATTTATTGGGTTTTTGAGACAGGATCTCCTGGATTTCCTGGATCTCAGTATGTAAACCAGGCTGGCCTTGTAGTCACAGAGATATACCTTCCCAAGTGCTGGGGTTAATGGTATATGTCACTACACCCAGCTCTAAATACCTTTATTTAGGAAAAGTTAGAGGACAAGGGAATAACACATTTTCTCAAAAATGATATCATAACTAGAAACTCTGAATATATACCTTAAGAAATTGAGTCTAGAATTAAAATCATGTACCAAAAGAAATTTGAGACCCATATCTTTACTAATAACACTTAGGTATACTTTTTTATTTGTTTTTAGATAGGATTCCCCGTATCCCAGGCTGGCCTTGAGCTTTCCATTTAACTGATGGTGACAGTGAGGTTTTTTATTAATTTGTGTGTTTATTTGTTATCGTGTATACATACTGATGGCACAGAGCACGTGTGGGTGTCAGGGTACTACTTTTTAGACATCAGTTTTCTCTACCGTGTGGGTCCTAGGGACTGAACTCAAGTCACCAGGCTTGGTAGCAATTGTCTGTACCCACTGAGCCATCTTGCAGTCAGACCTTGCCTTGAGGTTCTGCTCCTCCTCTGTGTTATTCAAGTCTAAACTAGTACAGGAGACCATTTTCGAAATGGTGGGGGCTAGGGCTATCATTATGGTGAAATGGCTTATTGGGTAAAGGCACTTGCCACCTAGCCTGAAAGACCTTCATTCAGTCTGTAGGACCCAAATTGTGATAGAAGAGTATTAATTCTCTGGAATTGTCCTCTGAGATCTTCATGTGCTGCACTCATAATAACTTTGCACAATTCATACATGTTTAATAAACAAAAATAAAAAACCTGACAACTTTAACGATTTTTGTCAACAACTTGAATTCCCCTTTGTAGTGAAGGCCCTAACTAAATGATGCAGTGAAAAACAAGAGGGAAAAATGGAATGGGATGCAGAGACCTGTGCACCCAGCAGTTTGCATGGGGTGCACACCTGCGATTCTTAGGAAGGCGCTGTCTCAAAGAACCCATACCAACAATATAGAAATTACCCGGGACTGAAATACAGTCCAACAGTATAGTGCTTGCCTAGAATGTCCACAGCCTTAGGTTTGATCCCCAGCAACTCATAGACCACACATTGTGGCACAGCTCTATAATCCCAGCGCTCAGGAGTGGAGGTAAGGGATCAGAAGGTCAAAGTTGTCCTGTACTCCAAATGATAGTGATTGTAGACATGGAGATTTCGGTACTGTTTTCCACTTCCAGTGTGCTAACGGCCAAGTGCAAGGTAACACTTGGACTGAAGAGGGCCTAAGTTCAGTTCCCGTCACTCAGGTCAGAGAATCCAGTGTTCCATTCTGGCCTTCAAAGGCACTTGCACACATAAGGTATACACTCCTCTATGTCCATACACATAATTTTAAATTTACTATTTAAAAATAAAAGACAGCTGAGTACAAGTATAGGTACACACATTTAATCCTAGCATTTGGGAAGCAGAGGCAAGCCATCTTGTGAGTTTATGCTAGCCGGGGCTACAAACAAGTTTAGATCTTTATAATAACTTCATTAAAGGCTAGTCTCTTGGGCTGGAGAGGTGACTTAGAGGTTGAGAGCACTGGCTGCTCTTCAGAGGTCCTAAATTCAATTCCCAGCACCCACGCAGTAGATCACTACCATCTGTAATGAGATCTAGTGCCCTCTTCTGGCATGCGGGCATGCATACAGGCAGAACATTGTATACGTAATAAATAAATAAATCTTTTTTTTTGTTTGTTTTGGTTTTTTTTTTTTTTTTTTTCCGAGACAGGGTTTCTCTGTGGCTTTGGAGCCTGTCCTGGAACTAGCTCTGTAGACCAGACTGGTCTCGAACTCACAGAGATCCACCTGCCTCTGCCTCCCGAGTGCTGGGATTAAAGGTCTGCACCACCATTGCCCGGCTAAATAAATCTTAAGACTAGTTTCTTAAAGCTAGGATTTGGATCAGCAGTCACTTGACTATTCTTCCAGAGGAACTGGTCCATTGCCCATGCAGCAGCTCACGATGGTCTATGACTCTAGTCCCAAGGGAGCCAACACCTTTTTCTGACCTTAGGGAGTACCAAGCACCTATATGGCACACGTATATGTATACAAGCAGGCCGAACACTCATACATATTCAGTACTAGAAAAGTAAAAGTCCTTAAAACCTAAAAATAGATCTAAAGAAAGTTAGACCTTTGTGGTAAGATCCACCAAACAAAACTTTATGAACAGATAGGTCTTATTCAAGGGCTAGGTATCAATCTTCATATCTACTTGTCCACTACAAATTTTGAGACTAGCTTGAGTTATGTAATGAGACACCGACTTAAAAAAAAAAAAAAAAGCAGGGGAGGGTGGCTAAGGAAATAACCTTGGTTACTAGAGTACACAGATATGAGAACCTATTGCCACATCCCTAGCACCCATGTCAAAACCCAGGCATGGTGGTACATGGTTTGTGACTAGTACCGGGTAAGTGGAGACAGGCAGATTCCGAGAAGCTCGGTGGCCAACCAGCCAGCCAGTCTGGTCTTGCTTTCAGTGAGAGATCCTGTACATTCCAGGAGCCAGTCAGTAGGGAGGAGAGAAGAGGGACTGGAGATTACCATCACGTATGCATGTATGCAAAGCATTGTTTCTGAGTGAAAAATAGGGCTGGCTGGTAGATAAAGGCATTTATTATCAAAGCCAAACATCCTTAGTTTCATTTCTCCTAATTGGAAGATGGGAGCCAACTCCTGAAAGTTGTTCTCTGACCTCTATAGACACTGTAGCAGATATACACACCTTAAACATAAGATAATATAAAAGAAAGTAATAGTATTTCAGCAGCATACATACTAAAATTGGAATGATAGAAGATTAATGTAGGCTTTGCTTAAAGATGTCATGCAAATTAATTAAACAGTCCATACTTTTAAAAATTATAATAGGCACTGGAGAGTTAACTCAGTGGTTAAGAATGTTTACAACTCAGTTCCCATACTAAACAGCTCACATCTTCCTGTAGCTCCAACTCAGAGATCTGATGCCTCTGGCCTCCTCCTGAATACATACATAAAAAAATTTAATGTCGTGCTATCAAGTTGACCTATAAGTTCAAATATAAATCATTTTATTTTTGACAAGCCCATTGCTAACATATATATAAAATTCGTCTGAGCATGGTAGTACATGCCTTTAATTCCAGCCCAGCACTGACAAGAAGAGCCAAGGTGAAAGCCATGGGACTGAAGAAATGGCTCAGT